CACCGTCGGACGCGGTAAGCTGCTGAAGTAAGCTGCCTGGGTCGACTTATTTGATAATATTGCCAAGGTTAGCGTCTAGCCTCTGTCATTTGTATTCAATATATAGCTGGCGTGCCTCTTTCATATTCTCGTTTTCTACTACATTTAAGCAAACATAATCAGGATAAGCTGCAGCGTGTTCTGTAGCCATGAGTCGACGGTTCGGCCGCCGCAAACTACAAATATCACAGCTGCCCCAGAAGTTGGACGCAGTCACAGTTTGAGGGTGAATTTGTTTTTAGAGAGGCACAGGACGCTTTTTACCACAGCTGATTGAGGACCTTATGCGGTATGGCAGGGATCCAGGCTGAAATTCAGACGATGATAACATGAAACTCAAATAAAGATAGACTGTTGATACTGTTTACCAGACGGTCAGTTGGTCCATTTTAGAGTTTTGGACTTAGTTTTACCATGGTTTAAAGCCCTTGGCTAAAATCTCGTGGCATTGACGTTCATCGTTGCCGCGTGCCATGTTAAAGCAGTCATTAAAAGGTCTGCAGAGAGATAACTGAGGACAGAATAAAAGGATAGTCATAAGGAAAAGTGGTTACCGCGTGGCCCGTCAACCTAGCCTGTAATTAGGAACCAGTCACACTAGTTGATCTTGTCCCTAACGTTGGAAGAATCTGAAATGAAGTCGAGCATCTCGTCAATAGACCGGTCTGGGAGATAAAGGAGTATGCTGACAGTCCTCTTCAGAATATTACTCTGTTGGTGACAATGGGTGAGGTGTGACGTCGGCACGGAACATGCTAATAAATCCAGCATGAAAGGGTAAACAGTAGTCAAATACTAGTCACCAACAGCCATAACTTTCAAACGGTGTCGCAAGAACGTAACTTCGCCGAAAAAGTGCATACCTAGCATTGTCTTCCGACCACTATTTCCAACATGCGTGGCCAAACCGAAATCTCCGACTTTCACATTTAGGTATTCTTCGTCGGAGGCTCCATAGAGGAAACAATTCTCGGCTTTGAGATCACGATGCAAAATAGGCGGCTCCAACTTGTGGTGCATGTAACGGAGAGCGTCAAGAATCTGATGCCACCAGCGGGTGATCAAAGGAAACTTAAGGATGCACTGACCATCAAGGAAGTTCTTTCGAATAACACTAATAAAGAGAAGACAAAATATTTTTCGGACGGCAGCCTTGTCACTTACCTTTTCAGTGTGCCCTCACCCATAAGCTCTTGAATAATCACAATTCCCTTCTCCTCTAGCGGGTGGTCCGGAGACTCCTCGTTTGTCCATTCTCGAAACACATCAAAGCAACGGACAATGTGAGGGTGGTTCATTTTTAACATAATCTCAGTCTCGCGATACATGGCTTGACGTTTTTCTTTCGTGTCAACATGTTCTGCCTTGAACTCGCACCAGGCCACATTCCGCGCCTCGACACAGTCGTAACCACGGTATACGAACTTGTAGCCACCCTCACCAATCTACGAAATACAAGAGTTAGAAAATCGAACAAAAGAATATGAACGATTACCCACCTTTATATTGTGTTTTATCCATCGGCCACACTTAGACTTGGCTGCTGCCTTCTGTTTGGCCTCTTGTTCGGCCTGGTACTTTTTTAACATTTCCTCTTCTTTCTTCTTCTCCCGCTCCTTCTTACGTTCTTCCTTCGTTTTCTTGCGGTCTAGGCCAGCAGTATCGGTTGCGCTCTGGCCAGCCACTCCGGCACTCATTATTGTGTCGTTGCCACTCAGGAGTACCGTTGACGCTGCAGTCGAGCCAACTGAAGCCATATTGGCTTCTTCGTTTGTCACAAGAGTGGGGAGAGTACCTACGGGGTTGGATGAGGTATCGGTGGTAGCGACAGGGGAAGCTGGGACGGCGACAGCAGCAGATTGAGAAATACTCTCATCGTCCTCGGAATCGTTGTCAGCGAGAGGAGTGGGTGCAGGTTCAACGATCTTCACCTTTTTGTTCGGCATTTTCCCAGTGCTGTTCTTGCGGATGGCTGATCGCTTTGGGGGATCCAGAGCATCTGACACCAGGGACGCAGAGTCAGGCGGCTCAACAGATTCTTCTTCGGTTTTAGCAGGGGAGTCCTGCGTACTCTGAATTCCACCAGGTTCACAAGAACTCATTCGTCTGAGAGGCGAGATAAATCACAGTTTTAACTCTCCAAACACAAAAGTGCGAGAAAGCGCCGGGGTTAAGAAAGATGGAAAAAAGTGCGCCAGGTATAATTGGAATGTTGAGTTTGATTATAGGGACAACCTGACGAAATCTAACTATGTTAGGAGAAGGTCACAGAACTTTCTTCCCTAAGTTAGCAAGTAGAAATACCTGTTATGCCGTCATTACACTAAATAATTGAAGTAAATGGTGTCTTCGGAAGTTGGTTCAGCCAGAAGGGGAAGTAAAATATGTACATCACGGATAGGGATCTACCTATCTTAATAGTCGATGCAATTCAAGGGAAATAAATACCACGACATTTTGGGTAAATTGGAAGACTTAAAGTTCGGATGAAAATATAGTAAATGTGCTATCTCACGATATGTTAACCAAAATCCTGGAATATGCTTTTGATTCGAAAATATTACTTAAGTGGGGTTGTAACATAAATTATCGCGCAGCACACTCCCATAATATTGCAATCACGTCATGATGCCGGCCTTAAAACGACATTTTTCTGCTCACCTGGAAAACTACACTCCGTGTAAAATGGCCACTTAAGCATTGTAAATTTCTTCCAATGATTTTCGATTTCCCTTAAGGATTTAATGCATATTATGGAAGAAAATGTACATAAGTATTTTTTCTCGAGCTTATTTGGCAGAAAATTGCGTCTTCCGGTTTTAACAATTTTTTCAATTCTAGAATAATTTTGAACCCGATCTGCCACTACACTTTTACTCAGTTTTAAAACTACAAGTTTTATATTTTTCGTGTGAATAAAATCTCACATTTATTTACGCTATTAGGGAGACGTCGCATAGGGCTCATTAAATATTGCAGATGTGGCCATTTTGTGTCCTTTACAAGCAGCCTAGATAAATGGATAGATAAGATGCTCTACCAATGAGCATTTCCCGATCTTATAAAGTGCTATAATTACCCTTTTAAAAAATTTAGACATAACTTACTAACAACTGAATGCAAGAAAGATTATTTCTGCACACTTTTTGTGAAATATATTTTAACTTTTAATAGCTTTGAAAATCAGCGGGAGAAATCAGCGCTAGTTAAGAAATCCGTTTTTCAGTGTAGTTTTTGCAGGCGGGCGAAAGGAAGCTCTTTCAAAGCCAGCATCCTGATGTGACTGAAATATCTCGGGATTATGTGTCACTATAATTAATATTACACGCCTACTTACGTAATCGTCCCGAATCTGAAACGCATTTCAGAATTTTTCGTTAGCACTTTTTTGAAAACTCGCATGTACTGTATAAGTACTCTGCGTAGTTATCGACAGTAATTTGATAAGGCCTAAAATATCGAGTGCGAACGAACACGAAGTCCTAAAGGCCGGGCAGCTTACTGTCGACGAAGCTGACAACCGAAACGAACACAGCACGTGTCAGGCATGCAGTTGGATGCAATCATGTTAACTAGCAACAAACATTTTCCGCAACCATCCTTGCTTAGCTCCACCCGCAGAGGGCAAGCGAGTGCGCCGATGAGATTGGAAAAGTTCAAAGAATGTCGCTGTCCAAGCATGGAATTTGTCCGTTGCGGAAATTTTGGAGTGGAGAGGATTAGCGCCCAGTAACAGGTCTAATCAAGTGCGCCAGGCAAGTAAGGTAACATGATAATTAAAGGTATTGTCATCGGTCCTGCACACTCAATGAACGCTCCCGGAGGACCTAAATGTTCGTCTTATCCAACACACTGTCTAAACATCCAAAAAAGAGGCCAATATCCACTTGCAGCCTGAGTTCGTCTCGGCCTCACTTCTCAATCATGTTTTGTCAGATTCGACAACTCGGGTCATTTCTGACTTTTCGGGGCCTCTCTCAAGGCTCCTAGCAACAAATAAGCGGCTGCTCATAAAAGGATGGTCAAGCCTTTTTTAAAGGTATTAAAGAACACTGGATTCTTCGATCAATCCAGGTGGACAATTAGGGGTGCCCTACTCAGCACAATACCGTGTAACAGATTAGGCACTTTCGGCGACAAGATTCAAAGTCGCTGAAGGTCAAACCGTATATGGAAACGTTAAGTGATATAGTTACTTGTCAAAAACCGTACAGAGGCAGGGATTTTGGCTAGTAGAGTGCGACCGGTCCATCTCTGACTGAGCCAAATGAACTAATTTCTTTGTTTTTGTTTTACGGGTGTGAAAGGCACATGAATCCGGCTCAGAAACAATGCCTCATCCACTTTGTGTCTTTATGATTATACAATCTACCGTCGGAGCCTGTGTCCCACTATCCGCGGCGGTTTCTAGCTCTACGTCCCTTTGTTTCGCCTTGAAGCTGATCAGAACTTTAAAGTCAGATAAACCCTTCTCGCTCGAACAAAAACCGAAGATATATATATTTCAGAGGGAAGACGACAGAATCTGGGGTGTAGATTGGTACAGCACTGTTTCGGGCTTGCTTGCCTTCATTCAGCCAATCATAACCCTGACCACCAGCAGTTGGTACCGGAAACACAAACATGCGCTCAGACGCACCTGGCGCAGCTGGTCCACCACTGGGGTCTACCAGATGGGTCATAAGCACTTCATCGAACCTAAGTTCATCAGTGCCTCGCCACCTGTCATTCTTTGTCGCTGCAGATCGGATATTTATACATATTGATTGAAAAGCAGGCATCCCAAGAAATATAATTAGAAAGGTGAAGTTTTTTGGGAAACAGCAAGGTTTTATTGTGAATCTTCGAGACTGGTTCCCCAGCTCGTCTTCAGACAACGGGTGTGCAAAAACAATTAACTTTTAGACTGAGTCTAGCAAAAGGAGTCCATGATTGGCTAAAGTTGTCATCTCGGGATTGGCTGACTCAGTTTGAATCTGTCCTTAACGATTTTGTATGTGGCATCTAAATCGATATGCCGGTTGATGCATGCCTCATCTGAGTGCATTGCCTCCAGGAATTCGCAGCCTTTTCTTGTTTGGCAGGCGCCAACAATGCGAGTGTTCTCCCATGCGAATTTATGCCCAGTGTCTAGTGTGTGCATGGCCACCTGGGATAGATGTTCACGTCTCTTCACCGCTAACTGATGCTCATGTATACGGGTTGAGACAGATTTCCCAGTTTGGCTACAATAAACGGCATCACAACTAGAACACGGGATTTTGTAGACGACGCCTTTTCTTTCGAGGTAGCCGACCCTGTCCTTAGGGTGCACAAGCTGTCTGCGTAAGGTAGTTGCCGGCTAGTGTGCTACGTTGTCTGAAGACGAGCTGGGGAACCAGTCTCGAAAATTCACAATAAAATTTTGCTGTTTCCCAAAGAACTTCACCTTTCTAACTTATACATATATACGTCTTTTGTGTATTCTTCATTCGTTTATTATTCTACCATCATCCTTGTTGACCTTGCTAATAAACCGCTCCTCATATTCAACACCATCTGGCGGTTTTAGTGTTTAAACAGTTGTGCCAGCACGTTTGGAAAGGATCAAATCCAGTCCATTAGAGGATCATTTGTGGTCAGTGATAAAGTAATATCAGACGAGACCAGCGACACGACTCTTGAGAATATCCAAGATAGAGCAAGCCCCACATTCATATTAACATGTGCTGATAGACTTCAATTGTAGCTTTAAACTCAACATTTACAATAAGATATGCTAATTTTAAAACTCACCGCCCCTCGATAACCTGCCCTGTAAGTACGGGAAAAGCACATTTCTCCTTACTCTACAGGAAGAATGAAATAAATGTCGATTGTGGCCTTCAAAATGACTCACGAGAACTCTACCCTATGCAATGAACGGAAGACGCAGAACTACTGACCAAAACACAGTAGGCCTCCTCACAAGAAGAAATGGATGATCAAACGATTAAATGTGTGAGAGAGAGAGAGAGAGAGAGAGAGAGAGAGAGAGGGGGGGAAGCTCTAGAGTCCCCTATATAGAGTAGATATAACCCTGCTACTAGGGATATAGAACGTCGCTTTTAGAATGATTTAACTAACGCTAATTGCAAAAAATGCTGCCCATGTAGTCATACGCATTTTGGCCTGGAAAATAAGTTAAAGCGTGTTGAAATACATATGTACAGATTATATTCGGGACATCTGCAGTTATCAACAGAAGGCAATTGTCTTCGTTAGTTAACGAACCATTGGCAAAAATTAACACGGTCCGTGTTGGCACTTGCCGGTTAATCTGGAGCGACAATAAGGAGAAGGGTGGATTACAAGATAGAAATATCATATGAAAAAACGGAAAATGCCAAAGCAAAACGTACTAAAACATCCCGGTCCCTCGCGAGAACGACCAGCGCCCAAGGCTTCGTAAATGCCGCTCCGAAAATCACCTTCGTCAAAGGCGCCTCCTATATGCTTATAGGTATGTTGGCAACGAAGATTCTTAATTGTCAGTACAAATTTCGACTTACCTTATCATTTTAAACGCCGAAGTAATCAACACTCAGGTAGTTGGCTGAAAACATTAAGTGTACTCAGGAATTCGGTTTGGAATTTTCGACCTCCGAGGGATTTGCTTTTTCCGGGATTTCTGCCTACTGGACGCTCTGCGGGCCCATTTTGATAAAGAAATTGAAGCGTTATCAGCAATTTCTCGAACGATCCACTCAGAACTCCGACAGAACTTTCCTTGGGACGACCATACTCCTTCGTATCAATTCTCTGCCAACAGCACCGCGGGGCTCTCCAGATCCAGAAGCGGCTGAGTCGTTTGATATTTACTTCATATTGTTGGCTTGGTTAAAAAGCTTCTCCTACACCTTTAAGTACTCCGTCCATACCTACAATCCCTTGCGTATCGTTTGAATTAATAATGGGATTCGACAAAACACCATCAGGACAATGTGCGAAAAACTCGCCGCAAGCGGGATTCGAACCCAGGTCGTAGGGTGACCAGCGAGATGACCGCTAGACTATCGGCGCACGCCCAGCAGACTGAAATAAATAAAGGAGTGAACATTATTCGTAGTACAAACGACACTATGTATGAAGGAAAGTCTATTGAGGAGGCCTTGCCACCTAGGATTAGCGCTCGCTCTCTTTATAGTTGCGACCAGGGGCCCGCAAAGCGCGCTAAAAGCGTTATCACAGCAAAACCTGTTAGTTACGAGCACGAGCCGTGCACTGGATGCTCCTTTATTCTGTTGAAAGTCTAAAAACTCGAAAAAGGGCTGACTGTTTTAAGGGAACTCGTGCAAGCGAACGATAGTGTGCAAAACGTGGTGAATAGCGCTACAGTTAACAAGAAAAAGGGAAAGAGCAAAACTCTAAAACAGCCCAAGAACAAAGATTGTAGAAAACCTATGTACAAGGGCGCCGATACCCAGGACGACGGGAAAATAGCAACGGAGTCTCTTGTTTCTATGGAAGACAACCCAAGCGAACCATCAACTTCTCTCAACCATTCCGCGTGGTCAATAGGACTCTCAGTTGGAAGTGAGGAAACAGGCTCATGGCAAGATGGAAAGGGTAAGCGCCACAACGGGAGTATAGAACCCCAGACGACTCCGGTGGATCTTCTGAGACCTTCAGCTGACAAGGCCGCCGGAAACAGAAAAAATGAACCCCTTGATCGTCAGCACTGCGTAGTCGTCCAGGGCCTATCGGAGTCGAATGCTCCTACCCCGAAGGAGAGGATCTCCGCTGACCTTAATATGCTTCAACACCTACTGAACAGAATGCTTAATTTGAATGAAAATATCACTATTCGCGCAGCCTTCAGGATAGGAAAGAAGGTGAGCGAAACATCGGAAACTGTGCGGCCACGACCTCTGAAAATTGTTTTGAACAGTAAAGAGGAGGCTAGCTTACTTCTGTCCAGGAAAAGCAGCCTCCAAAACTCTCACAAGGAAGTTTTTTCAGCCGGACTATTCTCCAGCGGAACGTCTGAAACGTCGCGAATTGGTAACGGAGCTGAAGAGGAGACTTGCAGCGGGAGAGCAACTTGGCCATTTTCAGGGGAGGAGTGATACAGAGGAACGCGATGTTGTTTTGGAACCAGCCAGTCATCATAATGGCGGCAACAACATAATATTAGCAAACCCGAGACTAACCGAACAAAGCACGGTCGAATGTTGCAAACTAAAATTCTTTTACACCAATGCTCAGAGTCTGTTTTCCAAGCTTGACGAACTGAGGATACAGGTAGCCGATACTCTTCGCGATGTTATAGCAATAACAGAAACGTGGCTGTCAGAGGACGTTGGTGATTGCGAGGTAGCATTAACAGGATACCATTTGTTGAGGATAGACAGGAGAGGCCGCCGGGGTGGAGGAGTTGCCATGTATGTCAAGAGCAACTTAGCAGTGTGTGAGAGGACCGACAAGATTTCTAACGCACAGAGGCAATTTGGCTGACTATAAAGGCACGGGGATCTCAGTCCCTCGAAATCGTAACTATCTACCGGCCCCCGCAGGCGGATCCCAACCCAGATACTTGTCTACTGAAAAGCATAAAAGAGATCGCCAGCCGACCAGACGTTGTTATCATGGGGGATTTTAATGCACCCTGAATTTAATGGAGCGATATGCATGCGAAGTGCTCGATGAATACCTTCGATTACCGTCTACCAAAGACAAACCTAGAAGCTCTACTCACGCAACGTGTCCTGTTTCCAACTAGAGCTCGTGGAGGGCAACAGGCCAGTTGTCAGGACCTCGTTTTTACCAAAGATCCTGACAGTATAGACGAGGTGTACTACCTACCCCCGCTCGGTCGAAGTGATCATGTAGTGCTTTTATGGGAGTACTTGCTGTATTCTGAACCGTGTACAAAAGGCAATACGAGGTCAAATATATGGAAAGGGGACTTTCGCCAGATGAGAGCTGAGGCATCACAAATAGACTGGGATGTTCTCTTCTCTGGAAACGTTGAAGAGGACTGTAATTTATTCAAGGATCGTTTACTGCATCTAATGAAGAACCACTGTCCCTTATCAAAGCCTAGGACATCCAACCGCCCTCAGTGGCTTACACGAGAACTCAAAAAGGATATCAACAAGAAAGGAAGGTTATGGAAGAAATTTCTCGAGAACAACAACAATGAAGCGTTTAAAGAATACAAAGTTCAAAGAAATAAGGTGAAAAGTCTGATTTTCAGGAGGCGACGGGATGTTGAGAGTACTTTGCTCCACCGAGCCGTTAATAATCCGAAATTGCTCTACAGCTATTTGTGGAAAAGCACACGTAATAGGAATCCCATTCCTGTTATGACGGTGATGACGGCTTGGAGATATCGGACAGTACAAATAAGGCTGAACACTTTTCTCAATTTTTCCGATCCGTTTTCACAAGAGAAGCAGACTTTACCCCATCTTATTCCGAGAACATGAGAGATCACACTATCAATAATATTGTGTTTCGAGAAGAAGCGATTTTGGAAGAACTGAAAAGCTTGAAGGAATGTAAATCTCCCGGTCCGGACGAGATCCCAGCAAAACTGCTCTTTGAGCTTGCCCAACAGCTGGCCAAGCCACTATCCTTTCTGTGCCAGAAATCGTTTGATGTTGGAATTATTCCCACAGACTGGAAGACGGCCCACATTACACCCCTTTACAAAAGCGGTAGTCGTGCTCTGGCGACAAACTACAGACCCGTCAGTCTGACATCAATCTGCTGCAAAGTGATGGAGAAAATCATCAAAAAGGAGTTGATGGCTTACTTGGAAACCCACAACCTCTTGTCCAATACACAATATGGTTTCCGTAGGGGAAGATCATGTGTTACGAACTTGCTATACACAATGCAAAGTTGGACACGAGCACTGGACGCAAAACACACCGTGCATGTTGCCTATATTGATTTCCGGAAGGCGTTTGACAGTGTTCCGCACCAGCGTCCCCTACACAAGTTGAGAATGAGGGGCATCGGTGGCAAACTTATCAAATGGACCGAAAATTTCCGTGTCGGCCGCTCCCAAATTGTCTGCGTAGAAGAACAGCAATCAAGGTGCACATTCATAGAGAGTGGGGTCCCACAAGCCTCGGTGCTCGGACCAACCCTCTTTCTCTTGTTCATCAATGATTGTGTAGATGGGTTGGACTGTGATTGTGCCATGTTTGCGGACGACATAAAAATCTGGAAAGTCATCCAGAATGCTGCCGATGAGACCAACTTCCAAGAAAATCTTTGTCGATTGGACGAGTGGTCCCGCAGATGGCTCTTGTCCTTCAATTTGAACAAATGCACCATTCTGCGCCTCGGAAATCAGAGCCCTAGTACGCGGCAATACCATCTGAACGGAATGCCACTCCGAGAAGCAGAAACTCAGAAAGATCTCGGAGTTTGGGTTGCAGGCAGCCTAAAGCCTTCTACACAATGCTGTAAGGCGGCCAAGGCCGCAACTTCAATGCTATATGCCATCAAGCGGGCATTCGTAGTTTTCGATAAAGACTGCTTCACCAAAGTCTTCGACACGTTTATAAGGCCCTATCTCGAATATGCAATTCAGGCCTGGAGGCCGTGGACGCATCAGGATTACGATCTGCTCGAAAGGGTGCAGAGACGAGCAACAAAATTAATAAGAGGTCAAAGTGCACTGCCATACGAGATCCGCTTAACTAATCTTAATCTCTATCCTCTGAGTTATAGGCAGTTGCGCGGAGACATGGTACAAACTTTCCGTATCGTGCGCGGCTTGGATTGTGCCCTTCGGCGCGATGAATTTTTCCAACTCGCCATTACAACTCACCTCCGGGGACATCCCTTCAAGCTACGTGTGCCAGAGGGTAGACTGAATGTGAGAAAATATTTCTTCTCCAACCGTGTCGTGAAACCGTGGAATAACCTGCTCGAGACAGTTGTTATGTCTCAATCTGTGGAGACATTTAAATGTAGCCTTGACAAATATATGCTGCAGCAACAAGCGGACTATGTGACTTTTTAGCCATGTGACCAGTGACCTATGTGAATCAATGTATGCATTCATTTAATGCTGTAATTTCTTCACATTTTTGCTTGTTTATCGATTTTTTAAATGTACAAATAGGGAGTTCAAAGGCGTAAGCCTATTTCCCTCAGATACACCAATTGACTGACTGAATAGATCGCCTCTGAACTCCTGGGCGTCGTTCTGGTAGAATCGAAAAGCGAACAAATCCCAGGCCAAGCACTGCAGTACAGCTCAAGAGTCTAGACTTATATGGTTAGAGGCAGGTCAGATGGGAGACTAACGATGAATATAAGCTATATCGATGGCTCTATTGAGACAGCAGAAGCTAAAGAAAATGTCCTTGCCATTCTAAAAGTGACGCCGAAGTCAACTGTAAATGAGTTACAGAAAATCCGCATGTGTCTCCGTCATTATAACAGACCAGATAAACCACAGATTCATGGGACCTATGGCTAACAACTGCGTGTAAATCCATACCGCTTCTGCTCACTTTCATGCCTACACCCCCTCATCGAGCCCGATTGTGCACAGTCGTTAGAAATCCTCACACCTAAGATGAGTTGAAATTGGTTAATTTCCAATGATTTGATACTCCTCTCTGTCATTTGTTATCCACTTTTATAAACTACAGGAAAATAACACAAAATTTCTAAACACTCCCTATCATAAACCATGATTGAAGTTAAATTTGCTGCCGATAAACTAGATCTTTCTGCTTTCATGCGTTTTCCGAACTTTAACGAAAAATATGAACACATTTTCGCTATTTTTTGACTCATTATCAGACTCACATACATTTACAAACAGTCTGACGTTTGTATCACAAATAGAATCGATCATTCGCTTGATATCATCAGAAGTCGCAGACAAACCTAAACGCAGATTTTATTTTATTATCCGAAATATACCCACACACGGTTAACCCAACACCAAAAACTCAACTTCTGTGGCCTTGCCATCCACATAGACACTACGAAGAGACTTTGCTCAAAAGCAAATATATTCGCGTATTAATAACTTTTTTCTATCAGACCGAAGCCGCGCTAGTCCTACAAAACCCTGAATTAAATAGAAGTCTGCAGAACCTAAACTCATCCATAGGTCCCGACTCAACAGCCATTCGAAAACGTAAACTCCAGGGAAAAGACGCCGGGTGTAAACACTTGAATCAGCACTTCGTTTCATCAACTGAACCCTTAGCAAGTATTTTAATTCTGGCACCAACAGAAAGAAGTGTACAACCCAGCCTGGACAAAAGGATAAACGTAACACCCCATTAGATGAACCTCCGGCGAGTACTTCTAACCCTGCCACGCATGAGAAAAAAACTCGTAACAGCAAGAGCACTTAAGACTCGTAGGCGAAAACAAGCAAAGGAGCACATCAAGGTACCAACACTCATACAGAACAAAACGAGGACGTGGGTTCTGGACCCAGCCACGTGATTACATTGGCTAGCAATATAACTTCTACTGCGACACCCACAAACGATCAACGAGTAGTGGAAAATGACCGCCAAATAGGACTAACAAACCAAATGGCCTTATTAAGTACACCAGCACAACCGAAACACCTAAATATGTAGACCCAAGAATTAGGAATTCTCCAAACCTCAACCAGAAACAAATAAGCTTATCTAATTGCGCCTTAACTATGCAAAATCCACCTGCATGGCATATAAATAAGCCAAACCACTCTAACATTTCAAATTCCTTAGTGCCCAATGACAACTCCACAAATTACTTAAGCTTATACACTTCCCCAAATCAAACTCCATTAAGATACAATTACCACATAGTAAACCCACCTCTCCATGCGTGCACTCAACCCATACATCCCAGCGCGTGCACTCAAATTCCACCATACGCATCGCCCCATTCTCCAAGGGCTACACAGTTTCCTCCTTTGAGCCTATCACTCAATCAAAGAACCCTCGGAAATCCTTTTTTTCTCAAAAACATACCTCTTCCATGCCCAACATCCTAAATAAAGCCCTGAGAAATGCGAGGTCGATAATCCACAGAACATCCCGACTCAGAACTTTCGTTGGAATATATGACTTCGAAATAAATTGCGTTTCAAAGACACGGGCAAATGAACTGTAGTAGGCAGACCGTCCTGGGGCTTCAGCTGGGAGACTGGTTCCTGACTTACGTCGACTCGCTCGATAGAAGGAGATGGGGATGGGGCCGCTTTCAAATTTTCTGAACGGTTGGTCTTAGATTTTGGCATCAGGCGACCAGACAACGTCTCAGCGTGCAGGTGTGATCCGAACAGTCAAAGAAGATGTAACAGGTAAACGATATATTGGGAAGAGGGGGAAGTATGAAAACGGAAGAACAAGGAGGGTCAGAGGCGCGGAAAGTTCCAGGGGGTAAAGGGGGGAAGAGGAAGCACTTGATGGTCAGGGAGGTGGTTTCGGAGGTACGATATCCACGGGATTTTGGGCATTTCCTTGCTCACGTTCGCTGTCCTCAACTGAAATACCAGAGAGAAGACACACTCAAACCACGGCGCGAAACCTCCCGCCTCCTTTTTGCCCGCTCGCCCGTTTTTCCCTCTCTTTTAAACAAACCTGCCTATCCGGTTCTTATTGTTTAATATGGCCTTAATATAGACATACGAACGACTAATATCCAGGGTTTTATCGAAGGGTATATTTTTACTAACTTCATAAGGGTTATTTAGTGTCAGGTGACATAGCTGATGAAAACGAGAAAGGGAGGAAAGAAAGAATATCGCTATCTGTTCTATGTTTATCACTGAGGCTATATTTCATAAATTCGATTATTTTTAGTGCTACGTTCCGGTATTTTTCAAGCGGCTGGCATAATCAGAGTCCTTTTGGACCAAATTCTATACCAAAGAATTGACTTGAAATATGTCCTATCTTATTCAAAATTAAATGTGTATTGTTATCTGAAAGGAATTTCTTAGTTTTTATTTTAAACTCGATTAGGGTTCGACTTTTCCGGATATAACCTGGAAGAGAATTCCAGATAGTTGCATATCTTATGGTGTAGAAATTTGACCGTTGGGACTTTGTGAATTTAGGAATCTTTATAATATCCTCGTTCTTTCTGGTGTTCCTGGGGGCGTTTTGGTCGGTGAGTAAATTCATTTTGACAATATCCGGGTCGTGGGTGACCTTAAATAGGAAGTTTAGACCATTTTGAAGTCTTCTGATCCAGAGTGGTCGAAGACCATTTTTATGATATTGTTCTAAGTATGAACCCTGGATGCCATCACTTCTAGACAAAGATCTAGTAAACCGTCTCTGAATGCCTTCTAGTTTCTTTCGGCCGTCTGAGGGCATTATGCCGAAGAAAATTGAACAGTAATCTAGGAGAGGTAAAACATACATTTTGAACAGTTGTATTCTTAGTGCATTTAAGGTGAAATTTTTACATATGAATCCACACAGGCGAGTGGCCTTCGGTGATATTGGTTGGACGTGGGGAGATAAATCAAGGGTATTTGTATAGCTGAGACCTAAATCGTTTACCGATTGGGCCTCTGTTATTTCATTATCCTCAAATATTATGGAGGGAAGTTTTTGTGGACCAACTATCAGAAGATAGCATTTTTCGGGTGAAAAGGGCATCTGCCACTGACTACTCCATTCGCTGAGTTTTCTGAGATCAGTTTCAATTGTTCTATGAATATTGGCTACTGTATTCCCGTTATAGGCATATGCAATTTTAAGGTCGTCCGCATATAAAAACGTCTTAGCTGAGACAGATGTGGACGATAAGTCGTGAATATATATAAGCAATAGAAGGGGGCCTAGGATAGTGCCTTGAAGTACGCCACTGGTAATAGGGGATGGCTCTGAGACGACGTTTCGAAGTTGCACCACCTGGTATCGGTTTTGAAGATAAGATTTAAGAAAATCGAGAAGGGGTGGCCTAATTCCATGACTTTTTAGCTT